GCGCGGCTGCGGGGATGGGTGGCTGCCGTTTCCGTGCCGGTGCTGAGGGCCGGCTCCGGCGGGGGGCCCCCGGCCCTGGCTTCAGGTGTGACGGAGCCGTGGGCCCCTGCCCGGCCGGTGGCCGTGGAGGGTGAGTGGATCTCCCTCGGGGGCAGCGGAGCCGAGGCCGGAGGGCGGTCAGCTGTCACCGCCGCCCTTCGCACACCTTTCCCCTTCAAGCCGGGGGTGTGGGTGCCCACGGCGTTTGTCTGCTCCTTCCAGCAGCCCCGACATCAAAGGAGATTTAAAGTTCGCCCCCTCAGCGGCACTTTGGCAGCAGGCAGGTTAAATCCTTAACGTCTCATTTAAAACACTCGGGGAACAATAAGCAAAGGCGTTTTATTTACAAACATTCCCGTGCAGATGCTCAGCAAAAGCATCGAGTTCTCGTAGCTTTTCTGTCCGTACCCTGCCTCCCGGCCTGTGTTTGCAAAGTCGCTTTACTGCCGTGCAAGATGTAAACAGGAATTTACCCTTTAGTTGCTTTATTTACTTAGGCCTTTCCCCATCATAAAGGCCTGCAGGAGGGATTCACTGTCCTCCTCGCTTCCAGATGGCAGGCTCGCGCTGGTGGTCCCACTGACATAGCAGAAGACAGATGTCCGAAGTGCCAGGGAAGCTGAGATGTTTTCTCACAACTCCATTTATTCCTTTTGTCCACTCAAGAACCAGACAACTTAAACTTGTGAGTGTTAAAATTTTTTGGAACATAAGTTGGGGTTTTTTTTGAGGGGACTGGGGGTGTGTTATAATACTGTACAATAGAGACCAGGAACTGAATAAATACTTTGCCTGAAAATCCTGGCACTGTGAAGATGAGTGGCAAAACCTTGCTATACCACTAGAGGTTGAAATTAACAGATAAAAGCAAGAAGTTCAGAGCAAAGGCAACTTCTTTTCTTTAAACTCCTTCCAGTATCTGTAGTTATTAGCTGTTCAGACAGCACACAAAGGAGGATTTCCTCTAGAGATAATAAGCACAGTGACATAATCAAGCATAGAGAGAGCATGGGGGTTTTTTCTATTTATTTTCCTGACAAATGAAGTCTGAATCAGTTTGCTAAAAATTCATGTCATGAGCTTTTTTAACCCTTTCTCCAGTGATTCGCAGGCTACTATAAGACTGAAACGAATTTTTATTGTAGCAACCGGAGTCCTCTATGCATAGAGGATGCAACTGATCTTTGAATCAAAGCTTTCTGTGTGCTGCTCCCTTCCATTTTTCTTACTTCTTATCTTGAAATAGAATATGCCTTTCAGAACTATGAAGGTGCAGAGAAGGGCAAGTCCCACTGGAATTTTATCTAGCTTTCCCAATTTCATTCGAATTCTTCTGGGTCTCATTGTTTAAGGATCAGTGTTTAAGAAGACTCTGAAGCTGTTACGATTTTCCAGAATCAGTGGGCCCACTGGTAGTTTGTGGCAGTGACCAAGGGAAGATAATTGAGCTGATGATCCTAGCTGGGAAATTCTTGCTAGAGGTCTGACCGACACAGTCCTGAGATTGTTCCATCCCTGCAGCTACAAAATTGCATATTCTGACTGATTTGCTCAAGGGATTTCCATCAGGGCCCTTCCCAGAACATTTCGCATGTCAGCACTGGGAGCCTGAGGCAGTGCGGCACATCCTCAGACCAGCAGACTGTGGAAATGATGGTTTGGCAGGAACCTCTAGTGCTAACATACCACAACAGAGCTCCTTTTATTCGTCTTGTGATGAATATGCCCTCAGCTGGATGCATAGGATTACAGTCCTTTGTCCTCAGTAACAGTAGGAAGGGACAGTTGAGGCGGCACCCAACTGAGTTAAAAGGAGCACAATAAACGAGTCAGCTACTGGATCGATCCTCCTTCTGAAGGAAATCCTGGAAACTGAGGAGTGAATCACCTGGCACAGAAGGACCTCAGAGCAGGTTGTCCTAGCAGGGGGGTCAGTTGAAGGTGAGGGTCTCCCAGGACCACTTCAAGCCTCTGCAGGAGGTGACCTAGGTCTGGGCACAAACACCCAGGGGTCAAAATAGCAGCACAGTTGTACACACTCCAAAAAGAAAGACACAGCATGTGCCCAGAGCAGCTGAGGGTTATGGCGGGCAGGCTGCCATAAGTAAGGGGCTGCCAAGGCCAAGGGATTTAGAGAGACTACTGAGAAAGAGACGAAGGCAACCAGCAAGAACTCTGTGTGTTTGGGCCTGTAGCCTGGGGAGAAAGCAGAAGAGGCAATATTAAACCTTGAAAAAAATTAAGCTGGTGAGTGTAATGAAGCACACCTGGAGGAAGGCCACTGCACCATTACATGCAGGTGTTCCGCATGCAGGGACTTGACACACTGTACAAAAATCTGATGCCTTGGAACAGTATAAAGAGTCCAAGTGCCATGTCAGCCAAAGATGAAGTACACTTTGGTAGCAGGGAGAAGGCCTGTTCATCACTGTGTGGGGAAAGGAAGCATGTCTGTTTTAAAGAGACCTGACAGGACAACTGCATTGTCACAGATTCAGTGGGCTCGCTGTGAGGACATTCAGAAGCGCTTACAGCAATATGGGTTGCTCTGGTCATACCAAAATGAAATGTGTCCCAGTCTGGCTCCCAAGACAGTGTGACTGTGTGCAAGTGTAACTACATAGGCAGACCAGTAAATATTAGACCAGTGAGAGATCTACATTAGTGGAAACAAGAAAATCCCACATGTAAGGCATTTGTAATACCTGCCTTTCAGCTTACGCAATGCCTGATTTTTCTACTGCTGAGTGGAGGGAAAGAGGAGACGCTACAGGATTCACAGCCAAATCCCAATATGTGGAAAAGGGAAGGACATGAATCTTAGCAGCAGACATTTCTGTCTGTGCTGTTTAAACACCCTTCAGAGGGAAAAACAGATGGTCTTGTGGTTTGGCTCTGTGTTCTGCTTTGGAGACCCAAGCACTATTCACTGCATGACTTTTGACCAGCCAGTTAAACCCACAGATGCAAAGGTTAACAATAATTTTCATATCCACTCAACTTACGTGCATACAAAGTCCAGCACGGGCAAGCAGGCTTGATGAGTTCATAGATGTATGCAGACAGCAACTTCAGAACAAGGATAAATTTACCCTCATGTCAGGTTGGTTGTGAGGCTAAATTAAAATATTATTGTAAAGCATTTGAATATCCTGAGGGGCTAGAGACATGCAAACTTTTAATAATAATTGCTGTTTGGATTTAGCTGGTCAAGTTCAGTACAATGTGGCAGAATACGTCTAGTTATTCCTGCCATTATATGATTCCAGCCATTATATAATTTACCTATAGTTATTGCTAACCTGAGATCTTCAAAATAACGAGCAAGTTTCAGTCAGCCCAGAGAAGGCAATATTGACGCTGGTTTAGAGAACAAAACACACAAAACCTTTTTTTTAAAAAAAAAAAGTCCTATTGTTCTATTGTTCTTTTCCCAAACCAATTTCAGAAAATTTGGTGAGCAGCAGAAATGTCGTCAGAAGTCATGTTCCTCACGAAAGAGGAAGGGCCCAGAGTGTCTGCTGCCTGCTCATAGGCAGGCAGAGCTTGGGCTGTTGGTGGAGGTAACCCTCACAGTAGCATCTGAGTGCTCATCAAAGCAATCAAGGAAGATATGTATGCTGATAGCACTAAGAAATATCACACTCAGGGCTCAGAAAAACTTCTCTTGGAGGGAGCTTCTTTTTGCAAAGACTGGAATGAAACAGACTCTCAGGAAGCAAATTTTTTAAAGTTACAAGGAAAGTTACACTCTGTTTTCTTTGTTTAGAGGCAGTTTGCAGAACAGTATTGTGGAACAGTGGGAAAAGCAACAGAAGGAACCAAGGAGAATCCTAAAAAATAGTTTATAGTGAAATTACCTAACAAGACTTTGCCCAGCTTCCTGGGAGCAAGTGATCATCAAATAGAAATCATCAGCACATAGGAACTCTCAAAGAGGAATGAAAAAGGTTTGAACACTGAACTGTTTTTGACCTCTGTGAAAAATGAACTATCCAAAATTGCTAGTTATTTTTGCAAATTATAAGACTGTTCTACCTTATAAGTACATTATCTATGCTTGTTCTTACAGGCAATAATGAATTGCCCTTTGAAAAAAAAAATTATCTAGTATTCCTGAAGTATGTGGCAAAGGAAAAAAAGAAACTAAATGCAGTCTCCTTCATTTCTTTCAGTTTAAAATGTAGATTTCCACTGCAGCTGGACAGACAAACCCTGGCTTCAGTTTCACAAGCAGAATTCAGCTGTTCCATGCATGAAACTGGAGCTAAATTGTTGTCCTGGCGTGGAAGTGGAAGAAGCATCTGGCCAGTGAGAGACTAGCAGCAAGCCAGTCCCCTTTCCAGGGTACTCAAAGTTGGTTTACTTTTTCCAAAACAGATGAGAAAAAAAGCAACATAAATTTCCTATCCAAATACTTGTCAACCTTAGGGGAAAAAAAAAAAAAAGTTTTAACAAAAAATAAAACAGCTTGCACACTGTCTTGCACACTTTTAATAAAGAAAGAGCAGCCATGGCTGTGTGTAGCATGCACAGACAACAAATTCTGCAACTGTGCAATCTGTTCTGTTTCTTTTGAATCAACTGTCAGTTTTAGTGCTCTCCCTTATCAGAAACTATCACGTGTCATGCAGGAAGAGGCAATCTCAGGTATGTAGCCATTCGGTTTTGATTGTAAGTTTGCAGAATCACATGTTAAAAGAAGTCTGTTGACAGTAGAAATCACCATAAGCTGAATCACAGGAGTGCTGGATCACATCTCCGCAGCCCCTCAGGACTTCATAGCTGTTACCACACTGCTTTCTGACAGTCTCTCGCAACTTCTTCCTAACAGCAGAAACCTAAATAATTTATGAGGAAAACAAACCTTGCTATTTGAGCTGAAGAAGATTCCCTTACTATCTGTTCCCACCACAGAGCTGCTTGAGACCCTGAAACACACTTCTGCTTTCATCCAGAACAGTGAAATACATGCTTAAGTTTAGCAAATTAAGTACCTCTTTCACATTCAGTGATTAATTCAGAGATGAGAACTGCAGGCACTAAATTACTCTTTTTACCTGATTTATTTTTACTAAATAAATGACCCCATAATGTAATTTTCTCAACCTGAACAGATATTTTCTGCCATTTGCTTTACTGTTTGGGAAACATTCTCATCTATTCCATTTAACTTGGAAGTAGTAAAACCTTCAGACCATGTCCCTTACCCTAGGGATCACACCTGTAAATCAGTCATTCTTCCTAGAAAATAAGACGCCTAGTCAGAAACGCACGTTGCAACATGCAAGAACGCCAACAGCATAGAGGAATGTATGTTCGTTCTCCTCTATGGCACTTCCAATTTCACCCTTTTAGTATTGGCAGTGTGAATGATATAGTGGAACATCTTGTTGATAGTAGTATTTCATGCACGTTTCTCCTTAATTTTGTTTCATATATATGATCTACATGCCTGAATCCAAATTACTATAGGGAAAAACATCCTTCTTAATTTAACTGTCTGTATCTGAGCCTTTTTGACCTGCCCTCCTAAAGGATAAAACGGTGCCCAATTTTTGAAAAACTCTTTTCAATGGGTCATCATCTGGCATAAAGTTTAATTCTTTTATAATCTGATTTGAAGAGATGTGTTTTCTTGAATCGCTTTCTAAACTGCAATGTAATTTCTTATGACCTTTCTTAATAGTGCTAGAAGCAAAACGATGGTAATACAGCAGTACAGGAGAAGCAGAATTACCTACTTTCACAATCCAAGATCAATGAGTAAGTGGGTGTTATAAATGCAGAGGTGTTAGCTGCAATAAATACTCATAAAATTGAAGTGTAACTGAGGTTGGAAGCGACCTCTGGAGGTTTTCTAGGCCAAACTACAGCTCAGAGCAGGACTTACTTCAAAGTTAAATGAGGTTGAATAGTTTTCCACATTGCATGTAACAAAGACAATGGGTAAGTGCACGGGAATGGACATCAAGGAAAATCAAGGCAACACCAGCTGTGTACTCTTGAGCATAGCTACTCCAAACAAGCTTTCAGCTAAAGCAACTTTATCATGGTCTTCAGGACGGGAGAAAATATGAGTAACAGTACCTTAAAAACACATTCTCTCTGACTCATTTAATACAGGGTTTCTTACATTGTTCCCTTCCAGAACATAAAAATTCTGTTTCTTTTCACCATGTGACTACTTAAAGGAAGTTCATGCTAATTACCTGACAGTGGTTATACTTCACTATAGACATCAACATCTAGAATTGGATATTTTATGTCCTGGAGAGTTCATATCAGCACTATAGGAGTTTATAATCTTGAAAAATATATAGTGTATCTCATATATGGTGTATCTGTGACACTTGTATACGTGCCTTTTAAAATGGATAATCTGCTGTCCAGTAACACAGTGACTTGCACTTTTCTGTGTGGGTCAGCATTACTTTCACTGATGCTTTTTTTGGATAGAAGAAATGTTGCAGATTTTACAAAGGTGACATACACTCCTGTTTGCTAAAAATCACCTGGCAGCTGAACTGGATACAGCAGTCCTCCCTTCCTGTCCTCGCTCTGGAATCCTTGCTCTTCTTCCGCTGAAGGGAGAAGGGACCTTTGCCATAGACTGCAGTGACAGCAGGAGGAGAGCAGACACAGATTAAGCAAGGTGTTGGAGGATTTTCTGCATGCTCTGTAAGTATTTAGGGAACCATGTGATATGTGATCTTCGATACAAGGTTAGGCAGTTTGAACTCTTGAGTTAGACCCAGATATTTCCAGACAGAGCTACCTACTGGCTGTACATCTGAGAAAGTACATCTGAATTATTTCTTCTGGCAACTATCAAGAGTATGTTAGTGAAATATGGTAGCTTAAGATAGAACTATGCTGGACATGTTCCTGCAGCTGTTACTTGGAAAACATCTGTGGTACTGTGCATGGAACTTTGTACATCTCTGTTCACACTAGCACAGAGCAATTAATCCTGTGAAACAAAGTATCAATTATTATTGGGAAATATGAGAAGGACATTATGCACCAACAGACATGAAATGACTAGAAGTAGTTACCATTTGGAAAGAATGGAAAAAAAAAAAAAAAGGAATATTCCATTTCAGGCACAGGAAATAGAATATGATTGGCAGACTCTGCGAGACTTCTAAAACTCCAACTGGTAGTCATTTGAGTAAGAATAACCAGTCCACTAGACTGGAAGGGTGATATTTTTTATACTTACAGTTGGAAAAAAACGTCCATCTGTGATAATTTGTGACAGTCTGTGTTTGTATAGTCTGATAAAGGAAAGAATATACAGGTTGACATGATTTCTTATTTACAGTTAACGGTTATCACTATGCAAAGCATAAAAGACATTGCCCTGAAGAACTCAATTTTAGCAAAAGACATACACAAAGGTATTATTCAAGAAACCCTGGGAAAGGACAATGAGATGTATTTTGTTTACAGCACATTAGGTAATTAAGGGATCTTTCATTTCTTGAGGCTTTCAAATTAAGCCTGGGCCATTACAAGGTGTAATGGCCAGTTGTATTCAAGAGCTCAGATAATCTATGAAAAGCAAGTGTGTAAGGAGTCTTTGGTAGCACAGCAAAGAGAGTCACGGTGAGAAATGGTGGGAGGATATCTGACCGGTGGCCAGAAATTTGTCACTGACTGGTACCGAGGTAGGGTTTCTGCTGAGAGCTAATGAGGCCTAAGTTGCAATTTGTGACCCACCACGTCATCTCCCAATAGCAACGTATGGCCTCTGTGGTACAGAACATAAATACTTTGCTATTTTACCTATTTTCTCTCATGATACTTGCATTGCATGATTAAAAACCACAACTCAGGATGGAAGGATCTTCCTATTGTTTCATGGATGGTTTGTGTAAAGGGTCTTTCAGCCTCCTAGCATTTAATCCAAGTTGTTTGATTTGCACCATGTTAAATCTGAAAATAAATTTAAAATATCCCTTCCCAGTCCTTGTAACTGAATGCCTCCTAGTAAATCATTTTACTCAACAGCTGCCTGGTTCTACAGTCAGAAAGGTGACTGCTTTTTTTTCTTGGTTTAACTTTGAATGACTAATTTAAATTCCATTTATGCAGAATCCCTATGATTTTGAAAATGCCTTCTGAAATTATGCACAACTACCTTTCTAAAAAAATACTTTAAAAAGCCTTAAGTACAACATTGCCTAGAATTATCTTGTCAATTAAATAAAAGAACCCACTTGAAATAAGTGACAAAAATACACAGTGAATGAAACGCACCTTACAGTAACAAATCGTTATTAAAAGAGACCTTTAAGCAAACTGCTAGTTACGTGGTCATGCTTAGGCAAGCACAAGGTTATTGAAACATACAGCTTCCTTTCAGCTGATTTAACTTGCACTGAAGGCAAATTGTTGCCCTAAAAGCACTGAAGCACATTGTTCAGGCCTTTGATGTAATTCTCTTGGCTTCTAAAAGATTACCCTTGCTGCACAACGTCAGTGGGATCAGAATTGGATCTGCATCTTCAGCTGCCATTACAAATATTGCCTGCAATGTCTTCCTGCAGAAAACTGATAGACACATCTGATATTATCTTAAAAAGACAAGAAGCAATATTTTAATAGACTTGAAGAAATACAAATTTCTGACAATAGCTGCAATGGAAAACAGTAAGACTGAGACAGCTCACAAAGGAGCTGCAAGGGGACTAAAACAAAGGCCACCTAAACCCACCCAGTGCAGAAATCATGAATAATAATTGTATTCACTGGAAAAGTTACGAAATGTGTCACAGATCTGGAGCCTTTTCTGGTCCCTTCCTTTTTCTCAGCACACAGATTGTGGAATTTGAACAAGGTGGGGCAACAGCAACCCGTGAGCAACAAAATGCAAATATTCTTGACGTGGCACCAGTGGAGTCATCCACAAGTGCCTTGCCCTTCTCACTGTCTTTACGTGAGGGTTTGCATGGGTGTGGGGGTGTAGTTCCCCTTTCCTCTTCTCATGTCAGAGCCATTTTCAAGGCCTCCAAGATGAGATTTGATGATGTTACAAAAGTAGGTTGCGTGGATACTGTGCTTGCAAGCTTGGCAGTTAGCTCCTTATCACCACTCTAGATCTTTTCAGCTCTGTGTAGAGAGAGGTCTTCATGAAAACACAGGCAGAGAATTGGGCTTGCTGAAGAATGCCATTGACTCTTCAGCCATTTCCTCACACTCTGTCGGTATTGGGGATTGTGGATATCTGTGGCTACCAACACACTGTACATGGGCTTGCTCAGAGCCTTGAAATAATAGACAGGGGCCTGTCCAAGGTGTTATTTCTGGAACAAAATCCTTTCACATCAGTGAAAATTCTCAATGAAGACTCGGAATTTCCTTAATGAATCAAGATTTTAGCACTACAAGCAACTCAATTTTTAGCTGCGTTTTACAAGTTTTATGCCAGCTACTGTACAGGGAGTAAGAATATTTTCTAGAGAAGATCTGTTTTCCAATAGACTTTCTGATCTCTCTCTTCCAGTAACCTCATCTTGGGAGTCAGAAGTTAGGTTTCTCTGTTGTCAGAAGGGGATTCAGAAATGCCTGCAGAGACAGTTTAATGTCAAAAGTATCTCTGATGAAACCTGATGAAATGGATGGGCAGGAGAACATTTCATTAAAACAACATATATTGGATGAAAACAGACCAAATGTTAATTGAGGCAGTGAAAATGGAAGCCAGAAGTAGTCCCCTTCAGCACTTTGCATCAATATTTCATCTCCTCTAGAAGTCTGATGCTGCTCCCTTGGTGGTTAGCTGTAGTTTTGCCTTCTTTATAGTAGGAAGTTTTCCAGTTTAAGTTATACAGATGCACTTCCTCTTGTCCCAGGACTTTGATGCAGCTGTGCTGGTATAGGGGTACATACACAACAGTGGCATAAATACAGTAGCTTTTTTTTTCAGTAAACAAAGTATGTGGTATCAGTACATGGCAGCTTTATACCAGCTTAAATGCATACCTAATTTTTTATGTGTACGTAAATATCTATAATATGTACAAGAATATGCTTCTCTAATATGCTTCCTCTAAATATGCACTGGAATTCTAGGTTATATATAACCAGCTCTGTATACAACCAGGGTTCTTCGCATTTGGCCTGTCCCAGGATCGCAAGCTGCTTGGCTGAAATGCCCTGCAGTCAGCCGTCTGTGGCAGACCTCCCAGCTTAATAAAGATCGCAGCTTAATAAAGACCCCAACAAACGAATGGTGCTTCCAGGCTCACTCTCTGGATGCATCTGAAAAGCGTTTCTGGATGCCTATCAAAAAAACATGTAAACTTTACCTTTGCAAAACAAAGCAGTACACCTAAACAGCCTAGCTCTGCTGTTACAAATTTTCTTCTGTAGGCTAACTTGTGTTTTCCTTTGTGGTGAGCTTCCTCTTGTCGTGGAAATTCCTCTCACCTACTTTGATGGATACACTTGACCCCTAGCCATATTTCAGTTTAAGCTGAATAAAGAGCAACAGGCCTCACACCCTGTAGTGAACCTGCGAGCTGGGGAGCTCCTGGCTTACATACAGGGAAGTGACGGTGCCTCAGAAAAATATTTCAAAAGGTGGTTTCAAAGCCCCAAAATGCGAGATAACCACAGTACAGAACAAGATACCAGACCTAAACAAAAACATCTACCTTGTTTATAGTATTGACTAGCAGCCAACTACTTCACTCTATAAATATTACCATCAGAATGGTCCCAATTTGAGCTTTTCCTGAATTGCAGCTGGACTGAACTCCAGATGATTCCCCTTGAGCCAGGATGCCTCTCAAGGTCTGAGATTCTGTACCTGAGACTAAGAGATCCTTCCTTGCCCAAGGTAGAGAGACCCCTTACTCGCAACAGATCCTCAGTAGGTGACTGATAGCGTGCTGGATTAATGCTAATGAAACATTACTAATCCATGTAGCTACTCAGTTACAAGATTTGTATAGATAATTCCATTAGACATAAACCATTGTCTAAGTCAAACATTAAGATTGGACCTAGCCACACCTAAGCTCCATAAGGAGTTTAGAAAACAAGGGAGTCCACTCTGAACCTCATGACTCAATGGCAGGGTCTTCCTCACCCTTTGTGTCTCTGGTCTCTGTGTGAATCATTCTAACGATTCTAAATCAATTTTCCATTGTATGTTTCTTCCATGCAGTAATTAATAAGATAAACCTTGCCATCAAACTTACTGAAACTTAACCCCTGTTAAACTTTGTTAAATTCCATCAAATTCATTGAACTCGGTCAAATTACTATTTTACCTCAGTAATACATATTGCTGTTTCTCTCTTTTGAGGTGCGACACCTACCTATTAACACTGTTAGATGCTATTTCTGCACTAGTTTTCCGTACGTTGCAGCAGCAAGTCAAAAATCACAATCTCTTAACAGTTTACAGTCTATCCTAAATTTATTAAGTTTCCATTGATTTGTGTTTGGGTCTTGTCGGCTCAAAATATTTTCTGCTAAGTATAGCTCCCTTCTCCTGAGCAAACAAGCTGGGTTTCTTTTTTCTGCAGCCTCCCTTCCTAATTTCAACAGCTATTTTGAACTCGGGGGTGTGGTCACTAAGACATACATGCACTGTCATTGCTTGTCTCCAGATTTGTTCATGTTGCCAGTGAACCTCTTCCCCAACAACCTCATGTTTACATTAATCCTTGATCAACAAGCCTTGGTCTCCTTCTGTCTTTTAGGAAGCGTGTCATAAATCTGAATAAATTAATTCAAATTATGAATTCTGAACTTGACCGGCTTCCATGAGCACAAGGTGAAAAGTGTGAAATTACACTCCTTTGTACTGAAGACAGGAGCTCTACCAGTGTGGACATTTACTCCTATGGCTACTAGAGGATCAAATGCCATTCTTCTTTAGGGGCTTCTGTCAGGGGAACAAGTTTTTAAATTCTGGTAGATTTGTGAATCATTTAATCTCCTAGACTTGTTCCCTCACAAAGGGCCTGGTGAGAGGAAGCCTATGAAAAGGCTTCAGTTTTGATAGCTTCTATCACCAGGCACTGGTCTCTCTTCTAGAAAGCAACAGAATCTGCAAAATATTTCTCAGATACATATATATATATATGTGTGTGTGGATATACATATGTGAGTAGCCATTATATGTGTTTTCTAATATGCATATTTCTGTATAAAAATAAAATGTACACACCAATGTAATTTTATTTGCTTAAAGAAGCTACTTCTACTCCCCTCAGTTAACCAGAAAACACCCAACTGTCAAATCATCCCATTTAATTAAAACAGAGAATTATTTTTTTTTTTCATATGATGCCGCTTTGGGAGTTATGAAAGAATAAGCAGCTCTCAAGGGGGGAAAGGATTCTAGGGCTAATCTCATTTGAACCAGGCTCTCTTGATGTTTGATACTTTACCCATATTCTCAAATGAGCTCGAATTATATTTGAATAAAATGCTAATTCACGCATAATCTGTTGTCTCTTCCATCATGGCAGAAAAACAAAACAACGACGTTGGCCAAACTAGACACATTTTTTCCCCCCAGAATTAGGTCCTAAATTCCTAATCATCGTACAGCAGCAGTTTGGTCTTACAGGAAGAGTAGTCACAACTCTGTGACTTCTGCCATCCAGTTTTCAGCACTGCTGCTTTCCTGGTGTGGCTGTCCTCCTACCAGTATAATGGGATAGCAGTGGGGCACTTAGATTAATTAGCAGCTGTAAAGCGGGTGGAGCTCTTTGGTTAAGTGGTTCAAAGGAAACTATTGTTCTAAGTGACCCCTATTGTTCTTACCTGGGTGTCCAATTGCCACACGGGCAGACTGCTTGTGTTTAGAGTGTTAATTACCACGTGTCCCTTAATCATGAGGGTTTGTAATCCTATTTCAGTTTGGAAATCCACATGCCACAAGGCCCAATTAACATCTCTGATATCATCACCTGCTAGTCAATACACAGCTATTAGCCATGCATAACTATTCCCAATGAATTGCAGTGCAGACGTGCCAGGATAAGTTTTGCCAAGCCATATTGGAAGATAGTTTAGCAAGACTAGTGAAAATAATACCGATTTAATGCGACAATATTGGAAAGTCTTACAACAAATAGATTTATTTAGTTTAAAATTTGCCTTGCAGATGTTAAGGCTTCAGTATAAATCTTCACTTTTATTAGGATCACAAAAGATTTCAGATGAGTTCTCCTCCAGTTTTAGTTCTCTTTTTTTGTTGATTTCACACCAGCCATCTGGTTCAGTGTAACTCAAGAATTCCCTCTCAAAGGTTGTCGTCACTGTTTCTAAATAATGAGTGCTATAGCATCTGCATCTGCAGAATTTGTAACTTATTTTCACTTACTGCATCTTTATGTTCCCAAAGAATGTCAGGAAGGAATTGCTATTCTGTAAAGCACAGCATGTTACAGAACAGATAAATTGTGTTTTCTCAAAATACTGGAAATGTCTCTTGTTTCTTGCCGGACATACACACTTCCCTTAATCACAAATAAATGCCACATTGAAAGAAAATTATTCCTTGCATAAATAATAAAAAAAAAAATTAAAAGGTTTTATTTGTAGACCTTACCACAACTCCTCCTTTGCCCACAACCCTTGATTGTTCTGCCAGGTCTAGACAGCACAAGGAGCAGGCTAATTTTCCCTGTTTATAATCCCAAAGCTGATGAATGCATCACTTATAGTGAGGATCCTTGGGGTCTGGTTGAGTTTTTTTCTCAATCTTACTTAGCTTTTTGCAACAGAGGAACAAAGATGGGGCAGGGATCCTTGTCTCCTAATGTAGAAGATGAACCCTTCTGCTGCAAGGCTGAAGAGAAAGTGCTATTTAGCCATACTCTTATAACAGATTTTCCCCCCTCAAATTACATGATATATGAATGATAATTTTGCAGAGTATTCTATTGGGTTTAAATTAATAAAGGAAAACCAATACATGTGTTCAAGTAGATGTTGGAATTAGCATTTTTAGTGAACCTTTTTTGCCATTTAGGTAAGCCAAAACATGTTCCACTGTGTGGCTTAATACAGCAGTCAGACAACAAATATCCATACTCCATCTCTGTGATGGCAAAATGGGGAGGGGGGAAGTGGTGACTGCCAAGAGCATTTAGATAACAGAGACTGGAGCTCAGAGCCTCATCCTGGAAACATCACCTAGATGACGCCACAAGTCAATTCCATTAACAGCAATCAGTGGTGTTCAAACTGGAGCAGATCCACAGCTCTTACATCTGAGCCTAAAACTATTTGTATCCCTCTAAAAAATAAATCACTATGCCAGTTCATTCACCTTGCAGGGATGCTGTATTTAAGGGTGCTCAGATATATCCAACGGTACTTAGAAAAGTGTTGGTCTGTGTCAGGAATATCCCAAGGAGAAGTTGTGCGTGTTTATGGGAATCTAAGAGTGCTTGTCATCAAAATAAACTTGAAGAAATTGTTGGCCGTCATCAGTGGCATAGCAGACAGGAACTATGCCTAGAAATAGAGATTGGCATAGCAACATTGCTGACTGTTTTGTAGAGAAGACTGCTTATTTTTCCAGACTGCGACATTTAATAAACATTTTCTGTTTGTTGAAACTGCAGAACCTCACTAGATCAAACTGAATGCTAATCTGCTCGAGTCGCCACTACAGACTTTTGTCTCCAGTATGTACACAGCACGAGTCACTGTGGTTTAATTGGTTTTGTACTATGACATTTGTTCCTTTGTGTTTGTCCACGAAAAACAGACAGAACATGGAACGCATTGAAACAGCCCCACAAATCCTCCAGACGATGATTTATTTTGCAAGATCCTGTTTTATCTTGTCATTTGGGCTCTGTTAAGCTGCAGGCTGAGAAGCCCTTTGATGCAACCTCTGACTAGCGATCTGCTAGGGGCTCGATAGGCAGCTTATATACGTATTATGTGGTACACACCTTATATATTAAGGCTTATTAGCCATCTCCTACCTGAAGCATTGGACCCTGCATTCACACTCCACAGAAATGGACTTTGATTATAGAGAAGCTTGGAAGCGCACATCCTAAAAAACACTGAGAACGCCAGACTAAAACCAGTTGACTCTTGGTCTGAAGCTTTGAGATGGAGCTTTTAAATCCAGATGGGCGTCTTGAACCTTCAAGAAACAGTATGAGAAAGGTCCCACACAGACACCCGGAGTTACACCCACGGGAGCTGAGCTACCTCAGGCCGCCCCCACTCGGGCCGCAGGTCAGCATTTATCTTTTATTACAGCACAAGAGAACTGTGGAGACGGAAGGTGCTTGTCGGCGGCCTAACTGCCCGGCGGTGCCCGGCAGCCCCTGCTGCGGAGCCGAGCGACTGCTGGGCCGCGGCCCCGCGCCGCGCCGCGCTCCGTCACGGTTGCTAAGGCC